TACTTAAGATTGTATCTTATTATTGATAATGTTTTTCTTTTGTAGCATTTTACCACCTACACTTACACATACATATCTACCACTGTACAACGCCATTAAAGTCGGAAACTCAACTTCTTAGTTTTCTCATTATTACCTTGGACCGGTGTACCTGTTGGTTAAACTTTCTGCCGCTAGGAGCAGAATACTGTACCACACTAGATTCAGCATTGTTATCAATTTTCTGGTAAATACCGTTTTGCTCCAATCTGAACTGGCTTAAAGAAATATTTTCCAAATATAAGGGTGTATTATTTTGCTTCCATTTGATTCTGTTAATAGGTATGTTTGTAATCTCGCCTTCTGGACATTATCTGCGCAAACAACTATAGTTTTTGAGTGTCCAACATCTTTAAGCTTAAAGAGAACCATCTCCTCATAAGAAATATCAAGTTTATCTACTCTACCTTTAAGGTAGTTCTTAATAAATACCACTACAACTTTACCTGCATAGCATATTGTCGGATTATATATCGAAAAATATTCTTTGAAGTAATAGTCAAGTCAGATACGTTTTTCTGGAAAGATCCTGCAAATACAACTATGTCATAATTTGCTTTAACATTTTTAATGTACATATCTTATATGATAAACAAACATTTTACATAAAAACATATCTACATACAACTCGTACATATCTTATATGATAAACAAACATTTTACATAAAAACATATCTACATATTACTCGTACATATCTTATATGATAAACAAACATTTTACATAAAAACATATCTACATATTACTCGTACATATCTTATATGATAAACAAACATTTTACATAAAAACATATCTACATATTACTCGTACATATCTTATATGATAAACAAACATTTTACATAAAAACATATCTACATACAACTCGTACATATCTTATATGATAAACAAACATTTTACATAAAAACATATCTACATATTACTCGTACATATCTTATATGATAAACAAACATTTTACATAAAAACATATCTACATATTACTCGTAAATATCTTATATGATAAAGAAACATTTTACACAAAAACATATCTACATATTACTCGTAAATATCTTATATGATAAACAAACATTTTACATAAAAACATATCTACAAATTACTCGTGCATATTTTATATGATAAACAAACATTTTACATAAAAACATATCTACATACAACTCGTACATATCTTATATAATAAACAAACATTAAACATAAAAACATATCTACAAATTACTCGTGCATATCTTATATAATAAACAAACATTTTACATAAAAACATATCTACAAATTACTCGTGCATATTTTATATGATAAACAAACATTTTACATAAAAACATATCTACATACAACTCGTACATATCTTATATGATAAACAAACATTTTACATAAAAACATATCTACATATTACTCGTAAATATCTTATATGATAAAGAAACATTTTACACAAAAACATATCTACATACAACTCGTACATATCTTATATCATAAACAAACATTTTTACATAAAAACATATCTACAAATTACTCGTACATATCTTATATGATAAACAAACATTTTACATAAAAACATATCTACATATTACTCGTACATATCTTATATGATAAGCAAACATTTTACATAAAAACATATCTACATACAACTCGTACATATCTTATATCATAAACAAACATTTTTACATAAAAACATATCTACAAATTACTCGTGCATATTTTATATGATAAACAAACATTAAACATAAAAACATATCTACATATTACTCGTACATATCTTATATGATAAGCAAACATTTTACATAAAAACATATCTACATACAACTCGTACATATCTTATATGATAAACAAACATTAAACATAAAAACATATCTACATATTACTCGTACATATCTTATATGATAAACAAACATTTTACATAAAAACATATCTACATACAACTCGTACATATCTTATATGATAAACAAACATTAAACATAAAAACATATCTACATATTACTCGTACATATCTTATATGATAAGCAAACATTTTACATAAAAACATATCTACATATTACTCGTACATATCTTATATGATAAACAAACATTAAACATAAAAACATATCTACATATTACTCGTACATATTTTATATGATAAACAAACATTTTACATAAAAACATATCTACATATTACTCGTACATATCTTATATGATAAGCAAACATTTTACATAAAAACATATCTACAAATTACTCGTGCATATCTTATATGATAAACAAACATTTTACATAAAAACATATCTACAAATTACTCGTACATATCTTATATGATAAACAAACATTTTACATAAAAACATATCTACAAATTACTCGTGCATATCTTATATGATAAACAAAAATTTTACATAAAAACATATCTACATACAACTCGTATCTTATATCATAAACAAACATTTTTACATAAAAACATATCTACATATTACTCGTACATATCTTATATCATAAACAAACAAAACGTCACCTTAAAATTGACAGAAGATGGATATATTGAACCTTGACAATTTTATATTCATTTTAAAGGAAGACTCAGTAAATGTTAGTGTTTTAAGATACACTATAAAAAGACATAAAATATTAAAGGAACAGGTTCATCATCCGTTTGACTAATAGAAACGAGAAATTGTGAGAAAACAGTTATGCAAATAAAATATTATTTTGATCAAAAAAAACATAATTTTTCATTGTTTTAAAAGTTAAAATGCAAAAGGATGTATTCAAGACCAAAATTAACGCCCGAAAATGGCGAACTATAGCTTTCAAAATGAATTCGTGATAACCAATCTTTTAGCAATCCTTTAGCAATTCTATCAATATAAAATTCGACATTGAAAGACTTCGATTAATAACACAATCATAAACGTATTGATCACTGTTTAATTCTGACATAATTTTTTATCTGCCAAAGTGAATAAATACTCATAATAAATAAACTTATTCATAAAATTATAGCAAATAAATATATTTCTGTTTTAATAGAAAAGCAAACTTCTAATAATGAAACAATCAAAAATGGCAATGAAATACCAAAATGGAAATATAAAGATTTTATAACAAGATGACAAATACTATTCGTGATTGTCCATGGTTCACCATTATTTATATTTAATATCTAGAACTTGTAGTACCAGAGTACGAGATAACAAATACTGGTGGTGATTGTTCATGGTTCACCATTATTTATATTTAATATCTAGAACTTGTAGTACCAGAGTACGAGATAACAAATACTGGTGGTGATTGTTCACGGTTCACCATTATTTATATTTAATATCTAGAATTAGTAGTACCAGAGTACGAGATAACAAATACTGGTGGTGATTGTTCATGGTTCACCATTATTTATATTTAATATCTAGAACTTGTAGTACCAGAGTACGAGATAACAAATACTGGCGGTGATTGTTCATGGTTCACCATTATTTATATTTAATATCTAGAACTTGTAGTACCAGAGTACGAGATAACAAATACTGATGGTGATTGTTCATGGTTCACCATTATTTATATTTAATATCTAGAACTTGTAGTACCAGAGTACGAGATAACAAATACTGATGGTGATTGTTCATGGTTCACCATTATTTATGTTTAATATCTAGAACTTGTAGTACCAGAGTACGAGATAACAAATACTGGTGGTGATTGTTCACGGTTCACCATTATTTATATTTAATATCTAGAATTAGTAGTACCAGAGTACGAGATAACAAATACTGGTGGTGATTGTTCATAGTTCACCATTATTTATATTTAATATCTAGAACTTGTAGTACCAGAGTACGAGATAACAAATACTGGTGGTGATTGTTCACGGTTCACCATTATTTATATTTGATATCTAGAATTAGTAGTACCAGAGTACGAGATAACAAATACTGG